AGATTATGTTGCCTCTGTTCGACTCAGTCCTATCAAGCCATTATACTCCATTGATCAGTACATTGGCTATGATCATTTATCCAGCTCTTATAAGTCCTTTCTTTCTTCCTTTGGGACTGATGTTGAACTTACCACTTTTGAGGAAGCTTGCAAGGACTCTAGGTGGGTTGAGGCAATGCAGGCTGAGATATAAGCCTTGGAGGATCATAAGACTTGGCGAGTGGTTTCCTTAACTTCTCACAAAAAGGCTATTGGCTGCAAGTGGATATTCAAGATTAAGTATAAGGCTTCTGGAGAAGTTGAGAGATTTAATGTCAAACTAGTTGCCAAAGGGTTCAATCAGATGGAAGGTTTAGACTACCATGAGACCTTTTCTCCAGTTGTGAAAATGGTCGCTATCAGGAGTGTGTTGGCTCTAGCTGCTTCTGAACACTGGAATGTTCATCAAATAGATGTCTCCAATGCTTTTCTTCAGGGAGATCTTTTTGATGAAGTTTATATGACTCTGCCTCAGGGATTTCAGCTTCCACAGGGATTCATTGTGCATGGGGGAAAACCTGTATGTAAGCTCAATAAATCCCTCTATGGGTTGAAGCAGGCTCCTAGACAATGGAATGTACAACTCACTAAAGCTCTTATCAAACTTGGTTTTGTTCAAAGTCTTTTGGACTACTCATTGTTCATTAAAAGGACTGGTACATCACTAGTACTAATTCTTGTATATGTGGATGACATGATGATTACTGGTAATGATCTTAAACTCATTCAACACACCAAAAAGATCCTTCAAGATACCTTCAGGATGAAGGATTTAGGTGACCTCAGATACTTTCTTGGGCTTGAATTTGCAAGGTCACAAGCAGGTATTGTTATGCATCACAGAAAGTACACATTGGAAATTATTTCTGAAGCTGGCCTTGGAGCAGCAAAACCAGCTGCCACCCCTCTTGATCCTTATGTACAGTTGACAACTAGAGAATATGATGAAATAAATGGAAAAGGTAAGAATGATAAACTACTTGAAAATGCTACAATATATAGAAGGTTAGTTGGCAAACTGTTATATCTAAATGTCACAAGATCAGGCATTGCCTTTGCTACACAAACCTTGAGTCAGTTCCTTCACCAACCTAAGCAGTCTCATCTTAATGTTACACTCAAAGTTGTGAGATACATAAAAGGACAAGCTGTACTAGGTGTCCTGTTATCTAGCAAGAGAAACAATCAACTGAATGTATATTGTGATTCAGACTGGGGAGCATGCCTACATATTAGAAGATCAGTTTCTGGGTTTATGGTGAAACTGGGAGATTCACTAATATCCTGGAAGTCAAAGAAACAAGGAACAATATCTAGAAGTTCAGCTGAAGCAGAATATAGGAGCATGGCAAGTGTTGTAGTTGAAGTTGTTTGGATAGTGAGGTTATTCAAAGAACTAGGTGCTGATGTTCAAATTCCTGTAACTATTCACTGTGATAGCAAGTCAGCAATTCAAATTGCAGCAAATCCAGTTCTTCATGAAAGAACAAAACATATTGAATTGGATTGCCATTTCATAAGGGAGAAAATACAGCAAGGATTAGTGGAAACAAAGTATTTGAATACTAAGGAGCAAGAAGCTGATATATTAACTAAAGGTCTTGGGAAGTCTCAACATGAATACTTAATGTCCAAGTTTGGTGTATTAAATCTGTTCATACCTTCAAACTTGAGAGGGAGTATTGAAGAAAGTATTACATAGGACCTACATGTAATTAGTAAGAGTTTGTATGTAATTAATAGAAGTTAGAGGGTTAGTTAGTAAAGAGTCGGTTAGATTAGTTACAACAAGATTCCTACTTAGTTTGTATAAATGTAGCACATTACTGATTCATTTGTTTTTCACTTAAGCAATGAAGTTCATTTCTCATTCTCTCTAATTCTTCTTCTTTACGTCTAGAACATTCCTAATCAAAGGGAACTGTTCTTCAAGATATCTTCTTCAAGATATCTAACAAAGTGCACCAAATCATAATCGCACGGTATGATACTTCAAGTGTGGGTTCACATATCTATATTTAAATATTTTTAGAAAAATATAACATTATTATATATGATTTCAGGAGGGAGCATGGGTTCACATGAGTCCGGTGACCCATCTTGGATATGCCTCTTAGTCTTTCCCAATATCTAATAAGAAATCATGAACCTACCAATATTTTTATCTAGATTTCAGTGAAACGGTTAAAATTTAGACGGCGACACTTCTAATGAATTAACACGTTAGAATACAACCTACTTGGACTAAGGTCATGTACTCATTTTAGCTACCAAAACGGTCTATTTGGATGAACATCAAGAGAGGACTCTTCCTTAAATCTTTAAATTTTTATAGGTCCACAATTTTTTTTTAATAAGAAATTTAGAATAGTGTAATTTGAGATTGGTCAAAGAGTAGGGTCAATTACAAAGAAGGCAATAATCATTGAAACTAGGGCCATTAGTGTTCAAACCTTCAACCAAGCAATTAAAAAAAACAAAATGATTACAAATACGAGTAAAATCTATAATTGCTTCAATAGAAGGATTAATTCGAATAATTAGATTATGCTAGTGGGGGGCAATTGGTTGATATCGCCCAACTATTCGACAAATGGTAGGAAAAAGAAAAAGATCAACATAAATTTATACCATCAATCAAACACAATATAAATTTAATCTTAAACTTAATTTTGAATATCTCATCTTATCCATCATATTAACTTGAGATTATTTTATCCTACCTTCTAAATAGAATAATTTAGTTTAAAAATTATAATCCCAAAATAATTTAATCCACATACCAAACGATGCAGTACTAGAGGGCCACATGGGAGTATCATCAAATAACAAATTGCCTATGTTGTTCTCTTCATTAGATCCTAGAATATATTCTGGCGTCTAGCATAAAGTGCATCACACCAAATTATGCCTTTCAATGCATGCTCAACTTTAATTTGAAAACTTTACATTTTTCCCCTTTTTAGCGCAATTTAGTACATTAATTGGTTTGAAGCAAATACTCGATGTGAATACAAGATGTGTTAGAATATAATTTTTGAGGTCTTTCTTTATTATTTAATCCTTCTTAATTTCATTATTATTCATTGTGATGCACAAACACAAATTATTATTTTGGTTGGTTTTTAATTTAAGATAAAAGCAGACAATTTACTAATGTTCGTTAATTTAATATGTTAGCAGTAAACAATTATCTTTATGTTATTCTTAATTGTCAACATAATTTAATGACTTGCGTAACATCAATGCCATGGGTGATGGGTGCACTCAGATCAAACAGACCTGATCGTTAAGAGCTTATCAATGTTGCAAATTGCAGATATTTGTTGAAAATTAATAATATGACCATCAAACTTATTGCTATTTTTTTAAAAGAAAATAATATTGAATATTTTATCTTAGCAGATTTATGTCACGTGACTTAAAGAAACACTTGCAAGGATTTTGTCGAAGTACTTTTCATTGTATCTGGAGAAAAAGAAGATCGAATGAAATCAAATCTATAAAACGCACTAGTAAAGAGAATACATTAACATATAAGTTAAACGTACCAGTAACTCATGCATATTACGCCACCAATGATATGTTACGGTCACCGTGGATGAGACTGTTTCTCTTTTAATTAGAGGTCTCAAGTTTGAACCCTGAGTATGGAAGAATTCTTGGTAGGAAGCGGTATCCCCCAAATGAAGCCTTACCTGACATAAATCTGAATTAGTCAAACTCCAATATAAATATTAAACATCGAATAAACAAAAAAAAACTCACGTAAATCACTCTATTCTCACTTGAGGAAAAATGAATAAAAAATGTGAAAGGGAAAAGAGACAAAAAGAAAAACAGAAAGTGGGGAAACTCAAGAGAGAGGCAAAAAATAAACAAGCAATCACTAATGAAAATGGACGAATGAGAAGAAGTTAAAATACTCCCTTTATTATAAAAATAAGTATTCCTTCCGTTCAAATTTATATGAGTTAGTTTAACTTAACATGAAGTTTAAGAAAGAAAGAAAGAATTTTTTTTGAAATTTATGCGGATAAAATAAGTTATATATATATTTATGTTGCTAAAAATCATTTCATTGAGGTTAAAATAAATATTTCAAAGTTACATTATTACATAATATAAAAATATATCATTTTTTTTAGACGGACTAAAAAAAATCCTAAAAAATGAAACAAAGTGAGTAGTATTTTTTTGTTTGGACGCATCATTCATTCTTAAAAACTAAGATATATTTTTATTATAACTATAGCTCTTTCGTAGTTTCCTTAATTTATCTTTATTATTATTATCTTTTGGATCATGTAAAATATCAACAGCAAATTGAAAAATAAATAAAATTAAAATATTATTTATTTTGAAACACGAGAAATAACATAGTAGTATATATTTACGATACAACTTTTTATTTGAACAGAGCCAAACCAACAGCAGCAATAACTGTGTCACACTCCCCATACACACATTATGACAACAACCCATCATTCCCACGCTATGTAACTCGCATCCTATGCCTCCCCTCCCCACCCCCCA